GGAGGAAGAGGAGGAAAGGGAGGAGGCACAGGGGGAGGAGGTGGATGAGGAGGAGGAGGGAGAGGGGCAGGAGGAAAGGGAGGGGAAGGAGGAGGAGGAGGAGAAGGAGGAGGAGGAGGAGGAGAAGGAAAACAGTAAAGAGAAGAATGGAGGAAGAAGGAGGAGAAAGGATGAGGGGGGATGATGGGGAGGGAGATGAGGAGAAGGAGGAGGAGGAGGAGGAGGAGGAGGACGACGACGACGACGACGACGAGGACGACGACGACGACGACGACGACGACGACGACGACGACGAAGCCGACGAGAAAAAAAACGAAATGTATGATCACAGGGGGGGGCGAGCATATATATATATGTGATTTTAATACATGGTTAACTTATGAACAAATGTATGCATGAACTCATCGGTGTTTTTAATGCTAAGTCCCTGAATTTTTTATACATGATCCGCACGCGGAGCATGTATTAAAAACGGCACTGTAAGGAACCATTGGATCAGGAATTCGGGGTCTGGAAGCCGGCGGAGCTCCAATCGTGGATTGGCCACGGGTTTCACCCGCCGCCCTCATCATCCAAGGAATCTTCCAGGGTCTGAAGCCTCCTGGGCACGCTCCTTCCCCAACGCCTCCCACCGTAGTCGAAGTACGCAGCTTGGCAAGTGCAGCCCCAAGCCCGTTCTGCGCTGACGAATGCAACCTTCTCGTGAGAGCGCGAGACTCCTTGCTCCGCCTCGCGGGTGCACCCAAATTGAGATTTCGAGACTCGTTTCAGGATCGGTCTCTGCCCCTTGCGGCCGCCCGCCGATCCGATAGCATATAGGCCAGCACATCCACGACTGAGGTCTTGAGACTTGTCTCAAAATCGGTGGCGCCAGCGTTCGCTGAACTCACCACACATGGGATCCGATCGGCGCCGACGGCGTTGCAACGTGGGTGCGTACGGTGGGTTCGTGCGGCGTTGGCACGCGCAAAAAAATTTGACACCGCTGCGATCGTTCAAGCTTGAATCGATCGCGGCCCCAATCGTTCAAGGTTGAATTCAGTCGGGTCCCGTGGCGTTACCGTGCCCATCGATACTTCCGCGTCGCAGAATTCAACCTTGAGCACCTTCGCTGGCGTCGCCAGCGCGCCAACGCCGCATGAACCTACCGCAACTAAGCAGGGGAGGGGATCAGGGATCGGTCGATTCCACGGGCAGGCCGCAGAAGCGAGAGAGGAGAACACGAGAGCGACGGAAGAAGGACTGGAGGAGGAAAAAGAGGAGGAGGAAGAGGAGGAAGAGAAGGAGGAGGACGCAGGAGGAGGACGGAGGAGGATGGCGGAGGCGGACCGAGGGGGAGGGACCAGGGATCGGTCGATTCCACGGGCAGGGGGGGCAGCAGCGCACACCGCCAACTCACGGGCGATGCCTAGAGGAGTAAAAAACAGCATGAACATAAACTCTTGGCGGTCCGCGCGGATTTCTTGGATCTGAGCTGGACCCGCCTCCCTGGCGCGCGGAGCGCGCCGTGGGCGGCGCCGGAGGCGCCGCCAGGGCGCTCAGGCGCAGATCCACGAGATCCGCGCGGAGCGCCAAAGCTTGTGTTTATGCCGTTTGTTCGTTCTTCGAACGCTGCGCCTCGGCTCTCACCGTGGCGGCACGGGGCAGCTCTGCTCCAGAGCCCCAAGCCAGAGAGCGCCCTCGAAGGCAGCCCACCGGCCCGCGCGCGCGAGAACTGCTCGGTCAGAGCGTGCGCCGCCGTCCGCGGCTCCCCCTCTCGCCCCCTGCCGCGCCTCTCGGCTCCTGCTGGGCCGGAACAGCGTGGCCCCCAGGTGGTGGGTATGTTTTCCACCGCCACCACCATAAGCAGGAGGGGGAGGGGGTTCCTCCTCCTCCTCCTCGTCCTCCTCCTCCTCCTCCTCCTCCTCCTCCTCCTCCTCCTCCTCATCCACCTTCTTCCCTCCTCCAACTGGATGGTAGTGGTGGATAACAGGCCCATCACCGGGCGCCCCTCGCCTTCCCCGACCGCGCCCTGGACCCAAAGCGCCGCGACACGGGGGGAAACAAAAAAACAAACAAACCAACAAAAAAATCTGGCCGCCTCTCGGGCGGGTGGCAAGGGGGTGGGGGGACCGAAATGGGGCGTTGAAGAACAGGGCCCCTTAAGGGCCTTTTTTATCCACCCCCTCCTCCTCCTCCTCCTCTTCCTCTCCTCCTCCTCCTCCTCCTCCTCCTCTTCCTCCTCCTCTTCCTCCTCCTCCTCCTCCTCCTTTTCGTTTTCCTCCTCCTCCTCCTCCTCCTCCTCCTCCTCCCCCTCCTCCTCCATATCTTCCTCCTCTTCCCGATCCTCCCAATTCAAGTCACCCCCCACTTCAGTTCTGCGTCGGCGGCTGGGCAGAGTAGCTGCGCTGACGGAAGAGATCACGCCCCACTACAGTCAGCCCGCAGAGTGAGGATGGGCAACCTTCTCAAGGGTACCCTTGCATCCTTGCCCCATTCGGCCCATCCTTGGCGACTTTCGCTGGCCAGCCTCGCTCGAAAGAAGCCAACACGACACTCCAAGGCCCTTGCGTCCTTGCCGCGCATCCCTGCCACCCGCCCGACCCTTGCCCGACATCTGCGCCCTGCATCCGCGGCGTGCCCCCCAGGACCCAGCGCCCGCCCGCGAGGGCACCGAGCCTGCGCGCGCCTCCACCGGCCGCCCCCTCCGCGTCGCCCTCGGGCGGCGCGAAGGGCGTGCGCCCCTCACCGCCCGCCAGGGCCACCCGCACCAGCGCCGCGCCCGCGCCCGCTTTCTGAGCGTCGGCATCCTTCGGGCGCAGGATCCGCACCGAACTTTTTGTGAGTCGGCGGCTGGGCAGAGGGTGACTGGCGCTGGCTATGAGCAGCTGAAACGGGGACATCGTTAGAGCAAACTGCGCCACCACGCACGAGGAGGAGGGAGAAGGGACGCGGCCGGAGGAAAACAGGGACGGGGCGGGCGGCTCAGGGGTCAGAACGCTCCCCGAGCATGTGGCGCGGCCGGCCCCGCCGCGGGGCATGCGGGTCCGCACCGAACACGCAGCACGAACATCGAACAGTAGATCGCCGCGCCCGCCACCGAGCATACGCTACAGGATTTCTCAGCGCGCGCGCCGCCCCTAGGGGGCGCCCGCACACACACACACACACAATCAAAAAATGTGTGGGTGATGGGGAATACTACTTCTTCTCGCTCCCGCCGCCGCGCCATGGGCGCTCGGCGCGTCCGCGACGCTGGGCGGCCCGAGCGGGCTGCAAGCCGCTGTCAGCCCGCGCTCCAGCGGCAGGCGCACCATCGTGGCCTGACCCGCTGCTCGCGGGCGCGCCTGCGGCTGGGGCGCAATCCCTGAGACAGCTTCGGCCATCATCACCATCATCATCACCACCACCACCACCACCACTATCATCATCATCGTCATCACCACCACCATCATCATCATCACCACCACCCCCACCACCACCACCACCACCACCACCACCACCATCATCATCATCATCATCATCATCATCATCATCATCATCATCATCATCATCATCATCATCATCATCATCATCATCATCATCATCATCATCATCTCCATCATCTCCATCATCATCTCATCATCATCATAAACCGCCATCAGCATCAACATCATCATCAGCAGCATCATCATCAGTATTATCTCACCATCACCATCGCCATAACCTCACCATCGCCAGCACCATCACAGTCACCATCACCATCACCATCAAAGACGTCGACATAATCGTCGTCATCATCGCCTGATCATCATTATCCGCATCCCTGGCAACATCATCGATACCCATTGTGATTCCCGTCACCTTCACTACTGTCGTCGTCGTCATCGCCGTCATCGCAGTCCATCATCGATAAGTATGATCATCATCGCCGTCGCCGTCGCCATCATCATCGTCATCGTCATCATCATCACCATCGGAAGCAGCAGCATCATCGTCATCATCACCATCACAATCACAATTGATATCACCAGCTCCATCACGATCGAAGCCGCCAGCATTACAACTTTCGTCATCAAAGTCATCCTCATGCTCCACCTCATCGGCAGCATAATCGGCATCGTCGTTGTCAGCGTCGTCACCTTCACAATCGTCGCCACCGCCGTCATCGTCGCCAACACCAGCATCGCCATCATCAACACCATCGACAGCATCAGCACCAGCATAATCATCACCCTCACCACCACCACCACCATCAGAAGCAGCATCATCATCCTCAGCATCATCCTCATCAGCATCACGATCGCCATCGTTATCGTCATATCGATCATCGCCATTGCCACAATCAGCATCATCACCGTCAGCATCGTCGTCATCATCATCGTCGTTGTCGTTGTCGTCATCGTCTATTCACCGTCGGCGTTATCAGTCTTATCTCCATCGTCGTCGTCACCTTCATCACTGTCATCTCACAGTCATCGTTGTCGTCGCCATCCATCTCCTCCTCCTCCTCCTCCTCCTCCTCCTCATCATCATCATCGTCATCATCATCATTCCCGTGATCCTCCTCGTTCTCCTCCTTGTAATCATCATCCACACCATCGTCCGTAGTCGTCATCATCATCACCACCATCATCACCTACATAATCGTCCGCATCACCATCATCATCACCATCAGCATCATCATCATCATCATCATCATCATCATCATCATCATCATCATAATCATCATCACCATCAGCATCATCGTCGTCGTTCTCCTCCTACTGCCCATCCTCATCCGCCCCATCCTGCTGCTCATCTCCTCCGTAATCCGAGTCATTATTATCCACCTCATTATACCCATCCTCAATCTCCTCCTCCTCCTCCTCCTCCTCCTCCTCCTCCTCCTCATCATCATCATCATCATCATCATCATCATTCATTCATTCATTCATTCATTCATTCATTCATTCATTCATTCATTCATTCATCCGTTCGGCAACCTCTCGGAATCTCCCGGAAAGTCCGAATGCAAGAAATTAACTCCGAATCTTCCATCCATAACATCCTCCCCCCCCGCTTCGTATTCCTCCACCTCCTTCTCCTCCTCCTCCTCCTGCTCATCATCCTCCTCCGCCTCCGCCTCTCCTCCTCATCACCATTCCCTCCTCATATCGGATGGCCTTGACAAGAAGTCGAAGGCGGCCTTGCCCTGCAGGACACCCTGGGCGACCTCGGCGTTCGACCAGAGGAACCCGTAGTACTCCTGTGGGGGAGGAAGGGTGGGGGAGGGAGAGAAGCGCAAGAGGTTGACAGGGGAGGATGAGCGAGGAGAACGGGAGCGACAACGACGAAGAGGAGAACAAGGAGGACGAACAGGAAGACGAGGAGAATGGAGAAGAAGAGAGAAGAGAGGATGGGGAGGAGTACGAGAAGGACGACTAAATCGAACGGAGATGCAAAATATGAGGAGCAGGGGGAAGGGGTGAGAGGGAGAAAATAATAAGGGGAAGAGGAGGAGGAGGAGAAGGAGGAGGAAATGACCACTATAACCCAAGACTCACCAATGACATTGCAAAACGCTCTCCCTCCAAACCCACTCTTAACAGGTTCCTTCAAAAGTTCATCTCCACTGAAAGAATTGCCCCGTTGGGGGTCAACCATGCAAAATCCCGAAGTATACCCAAAAACCATCTTCAGGACTTCAACGCCATGAATCCACCTGATTTTGAAATATTGGCGATCCTGAGCTGCGCTGGAACGCCTTCTTGGGACTTTAAGACCACGAATCAACGTAAGTGTTGCGCCCTGACAGTCATGAATATGTCCAGTACACAATTTCTGGTACGTTAGCCATGAGAACCAATGAAAGCCCTGCAAATCCCACCAGCCCTCTGGGCGTAGGTGGTCTAGAGCAGATCCTCTTCCACCCCTCCCTCTTCCCCCTTGGGGAGGGGTTTACCCCTCCCCCTACCCCCTCCCCTGGACCTGGACGGGGGGGGCCGCGGGTAGTTAGAGCGTCCAAGATGGCCCAAGACGGCTCCAAGAGCGCCTCAGAGAACCCAAGATGAGCTCCAAGATGGCTCAAGATAGCGCAAGATCGCTCACGATGGCTCCTAAGATGGTTCCAAGAAGCCCAAAGACGGCCCCAAGATAACTCCAAGTGGCCAAACAGCTCCCCAAGGAGGCCCCGAAGAGGCCAAAATCGTCCCAAAACCTAAGGAAAATCAATGATTTTTGCTTTCTCGCCTTTTCGCTTCCGATGGCTATCCGAGGCCTGGAGATGGCTCCAAGATGGCCCAAGAGGGCCCCAAGAGAGCCCCAAAAGAGCCCCAAGACGGCCCCAAGAGCGCCCAAGAGCACTCCAAGAGCGTTCCAAGAGGGGTCCAAGAGGCGATTTTAGGGGCTTCCGAGGGGGGACGCTAATTAAACCCCCCCTCTTGTTTGATCGACTCCCTCCAAGATGGCCCCAAAAGCGCCCCGAAGGCTCCCCAGAGCGCCTCAAGAGGGTCCCAAGAGGCGCCCAAGATGCCCCAAGGCGCCCAAAAAGCCCTCCAAGAGGCCCTCAAAAGACCCCCAAGAAGCTCCTTCCCCTCCTCCTCCTCCTCCTCCGATTCTTCCTCCTTCTCCGTCCTCCTCCTCCTCCTCCTCCTCCTCCTCTCCTCCTCCTCCTCCTCCTCGACGACGACGACGACGACGACGACGACTCCTCTTCCATCCTCCCCCTCTCGGGGTCTGTGACAGCTTCCCCCGCCCTTTGTTATTCTGCATGCTCCCCGACTTCCCTGATCACCTCAACTCCCCTGAGCATCGTTTCTGGATGGGTTGGTGGGGATACGCGAAGCGTCAACAATTTTTAAGACGACTCTGCGCGGAGCTAAAGCGAGAGCCACATTTTGAAAACCGCTCGCCCTCAATCCGTGAAGCTCTTGCAATGTGGCGAAAGCCACATTTAAAAAACGAGCCGCCCTCAATCCGCGAAGCTGCTGCTCTTTCTAAGGACGAACGTGCGCGACGCTAAAGCGAGAGCCACATTTTGAAAGCAGCCCGCCCCCCATATGTGGAACTGCTGCCAGCTTTTCAAGTTTCAAGATCGCTAATGGTGAGGAACCCTCATGCGAAACGCCCGGCCCGCCCTTTTGACCGGCCTCGGGGCGCAACATGAAGAAATTTCGTATAGGGAGAAGATATGGAGACGAGGAGGAGAAGGTGGAGGAGGACGAAGACGGAGGAGGAGAAGGAGGAAGAAGAAGACGAAGAAGAGGGACCCCTTCAAGGTCTGGAGGGCGCCCAACGCCATCGCCCGCAAAAGCTGGCGGACAGGCAGCAGAAGCGGCCCGTCCAAGCCGCGCGCGCGGGCTACAAGCCCGACCGGCCCGTCACGCCGACGGGGGACGCGCGCGGCGGGAATGGGGGGCCCTCGGCCACGCGGACAACCGCGGCACATGCTGAAATCCGAGAAGGCCACCAGAGGCTGAGGCCAGCACTTCCCAATCTCAACACGAATCGGTCCCAGCACCCGTTGGTACCACAGTATATCGATCGATCTCTCTACGATGCTGCCGATCGATACCACAACCGATCGATCGGTCTCAGGACCACCTAACGACAGGGCAGCCGCACGACAATTACGGGACAACCACGCCAGAACCACGCGACAACCGCGCGGCCACAACGCTGCGGGCGCCGCGCACTTCGGCACACGCCACACGGTCGCAGCAACCTTTCCTGCGAAATGGGCGCGGCGGCGCGTCGAGCGGCGCGGCCAGCCGCCGAGCCAGCAAGAAGGCGGCGGCGGCACGCCTCGACAACATCACCAGGCTGCTACAACCCGAGGCGGACGCGGGCGGGGCGGAACGCGCCCTCGAAGAGGCGGACGCCAGCAGAGGCGCACCCCGCCTGCCTGAAATTCAACGAACACCTGAAGGCGAAGCGGCTGGCCGGCACGGCGGCAGGTGACGCGCACTCTCCCTCCGCTGCTGCCTGGGCGCTGCTGACGCAACTTTGACAGCGGCCCCCCTCAATCGCGTCTCGCGCGTTGTCGCCGCATCGGCGATGCGCCGCGCACTCTCGGCGTTGCTCGAGTCACGGAGCGCGGGCGCAAGCGCTGGCGCCCTCGGCACTTGCGCCCGCGAACGCCCCACGCGTCTTGGACGTTCGCCCACCGCGACGCCGCGGGCGCCGCGCTCTTCGGCACCCGCCGCGAGGTCGCAACAGCTATTCCGGCACATGGGCGCGGCAGCGCGGCGAGCGACCACCGAGCCAAAGGGGGGGCGGCAGAGGCGCGCGCCTCGGCGACGTCGCCAGGCTGCTGCGGCAACCCCAGTGCAGCAGCAAGCCTGGCGTCAGCCTTCGGGCGCGCGCCAACCCCATTGCCGGCGTCGCGCCTCGCTTGTTGCGAGCGGCAAGGAGAGGCGCGACGAGTCGCGCAGCTACCGCTGAGAGGCAGCGCTCGCGGGCGCGAGGCCCACGGCGGCAGGGCCAGCCCCCGGCGGAGGGTGCCGCGCCTTTGCCAGTCGCCGCCTCTTCCGGGGCAGGCTGGCCCAGGTGCGCGCCGAACGCGCTGGACTTCCCAGCGCCTGCCTTCGAAATGGCGGCCAGGTCCCCGCGCCCTCGACGCAGGGTCTCTGCGCGACCGCGCCACGTGCATTCTGTGGCGAGACGGCCAGAATCGGCGAGGCCCACCGCCTGCGCTGCCCTGCGCGGTGCGCCAGTGCTTTCCGGCGACGGCAGACGCGCCCGCCCCCGAAATTTGCCCGGCGCGCGGACGGGGGGGCGCCGGGCGAAGGGCGCGCCGAGCAGGGCGCGAGGAGCGCGCGCGGGGCAGGTTGCCTTGCAAGTCTGGCGCCAGCACGAACGCCCAGCCGCGGGGCGAAGCCGAAGGCCAGCACGGAACGCGCGCGCACGCTGCTGCCGCACACGTGAGACAGCATCATCACCAGCGCCCCTCGCGTGACCGGGAGAAGACGGGGGCCCGGCGGGGGGGCGCGCGACGGCTGCCGCCATCCCGCGCCCACCGAGCCCGCCCCCTCCCCCGTCCGCAACGACGACGTGGAACGCCATCTCCTCTGGCACGAATTTGATCGGTTGCCCCGCCGCCTCCACCAGGGTACGTCTCCTAAAACGGGGGGGGCGCTGCGGAGGACCGGGGCGAGGCCCGCGCGCTCGCCATCCTACTGGCACCCCGCCAACGGCCGCATCCAGGCCGCGGCCCCGCAACGCCCGAATTGGGGGCGTCTCGACCAACCGAGCTGGCCTCGCAGCGCCCCAGCCTCTCCCCCAATGAGCGCGCCCCTCTGCCCGACCTGGTCGATGGCCTCCACGATGGCCCGGGCCCCCGGCGAATAGCGCGCGCCGCGCGGGCCGCCCCCGCCGACGCAGCGGAGACCGCCGAGCAGCTTGAACTGCGGCCGGGGCGCGGGGTTCTCCCGGAGGTCGACCCGCCAGCCCACGAGGCCAGTGAGCTCCAACAAGAGCCGATGCGCCCGCTGCCCGCGCGGCCGCCGGGCCTCGGGCGCAGTTGAACTGGCCCAAGGCCCCGCCGAACGGCCGGCCGCAGACGCGCACTACACGTTCGGCGCGGTGCCCTTCCAGCACCCGCTCTCCCCCGCGCGTATCATTCCGCTCGCGGGCCACTGCCCGGGGCATGGCCAAGGCCTCCAGCGCGTACCGAGGTCTACCGTATCTTTTCCACCTGCGCCCTTCACATCGCCGATCAGCCTGGCTGCCCACTCCCCCGTTTTCTCCAATTCCAAATTGGGAAAGCGCGGGGCGAGGCGAGGCGCGCTCGGTCCAGGTTGAGCTCGTCCAAGCCTCGCAGGGCCACGTGCCCGCTGCCTACCTCCTTCTTGGCCTTGGCCCAGGCCAGGGCGCACAGGGTCGGGCGCTTGCCCGCGGTGACACCGCTAACTGGGACTGGGCGACCGCGGCAGCGGCCTCTCGAAGCCTGGGGCAGGCCCGTCGTCAGCAGCCCCCCCCCCCACCCCCCACCCCACCAGCATCGGCCGACCATGTAGTGCATACATATCCTCCTCGTGCTCAATCTTCTCAAGTAGCCTGTTCAGCAGCGGGAATTGCAATTCCCCGATGACGCGCTGGACACGCGGGCGCAGCCAGGCTACCCAGGAAGCTCGCTGACCGTCAAGTTGCCGGGCCAGCCCGGGAATCCTCTTCGCGACGGTCTCCTGGCATCCGATGATGGCGCGGCCCACGAGGCAGATAGTCTCCATCGCATCCACCAGCCTCTGTGGCAACTGCGGCGGCGTCTCGATGGGGCGCTTGAGTCGCGCCCCCGCGACTGGCTGATCTGCGCAAATTATTCCGGGCCCGCGGGTTTAACCGAAACCCACGGGTCGGGATTTTCCCGCCTTCTATCGCTCTGCCCTGCGTCTCTGGCGAGCGAGACAGCCGCTTTCCGCTGCCCTGGAACACGCCCCGAGAAGGGGGAGCCGCCCTCGGCGGCGCCATTCGTAGCTGCGCCTCGCAAGGGAACCCGAGGGCCACCTCCGGGTGCCCCGGGCCCCCCTGGCTGGCGGCCCACGCCCGGGGGCTGGGCCGAGCGGCGCACGTGCTGCGGGTAGGTCTTTGCGCCGACTGGGCACGTGCAAGCGTGGGCGTTCTGGCCCGACCTGTTGCCGCAGCCCTTGTCCTTGTTGTAATGAGCGCAAATCTCGCGGCCCTTGCGCATGGCCTGGGGGATGAAGGGCGGCGCGTTGCGGTGCGCAGCACCTCCCTGACGCCTGTCGTCGCCCTGGCGGGGCGGCGCCCAGCTGCGGTGCCCGCTGTTGCCCTTTGTTCATCCTCTTCCCCCACCTCCGCCGCCTCCAGCGTCACCCTCGTCATAGCCCCTCCTGCTGCTTGCTGTTGCTGATGTCAGAGAAGAGGTGGGCGCTCTCGGCGCGGTGGTGCGACATCGCTACGGCCAGCATGGGGAACTTCCCCGCGGCTGTGGGCCAAACCCAACATGGTGCGCATCTGCAAGTCTGCCTTGATGACCGTCTGCAGCCCGCCCCTGGCGCGGGGGCCTTCGCGCGCTTTGTCCACCAGCCATTCGCGGTGCTGGAACAGGCGGGCGAGGTCCGCTTGCGCCCGGTCTCGCCCCGCTGCACGAGCGCATGCCACCGTGGGCACGACGTGGCGTTTGGTGAACCGTGCGAAGTCGTTAACCGTGGACTCCTCCGGGATGCCTTGGCCGCCTCTCAAGCTGCCCGAATTCGTCGAGATCTCGATACGTACCTTCCCAGCGAGCTCAGGGCCTCTTTCCAAGATGCTCCAGAACTCACCCGGGCGCGGCACGTAGCGCATCTTCTCCATGAAAAACTTGACGAGGCGCCCCATCGCCGCGTCGTCCACCTGGAAGGGATTTGGGCCGCTGAAACTTAAAATGCTCGCCCGTCGTGGCGTCGAACCGCTTCTTGTCGTCCGCAAAGAGGACGGCCTTCTGGTCGATACCATCGCCGGGTGCCGCCGCTTCGCCTTCCGCCCTGGTCATGGCAAGGGCCCGACGAAACGCCGTCCTGACTGGCTGGCATGCCAAGGCGTCGTTGGCGGCGATGGGGGCCCCAGCGCCCTGCTGCGCCGTCGCGACGCTCTCCTCGGAGTCTACAGAGTGGGCGCCCACGACGATGATGCCTGTGGCGATCGGCAACTCCGCGAGGTCCGCGGGCACCCTGCACTCCTCGAGAAGGCTCCGCAAGCCAGGGCCCAAGGCCCGCGCGGCGTCGACCGAGCACGCCGCCGTGGCAACGCCAGTCGCTCTGGCCAGGCCTCTCCGGGGCCGCGCGGTCGGAAGGCCGGTTGCGTTGGCGGGGACGGCTGCGGTCAGGGCGCCCCCCCACGCCGCACGCGGCCCCTCCCGCGCGGGAGGCTTCCGGGCCCCTCCCCGCTCGCGTTTTCGGCGTACCTGCGGGTTTCGCTGAAACCCGTGGGCCTGGGAAAAAACCAGACCCGGGAGGGCGGTCACTCACAACCGTCACCGCTGACCAAATCCAGCAGCCGCCTCCAGTTGGACAGTGGATCCACAATCGAGAGCTCAGCACCTCGCAGTGCATCTAGCCATGCCGCGCGCACGATGAGAGAAAAGAAAGCTGTGGAACAGAAAAGTGCTCATGGCCTCACGTCGGCAGCCAGGTCGGGACTGGGCTTCGGAGTCACAAGACCAGCCGATTGTCCTTCGTCAGGAACAACTACTGGGAGGTGTGCGTCGGGAGGAGTCAGAAGGATTAAGCCCCGTGGGGTGGGGGGGGCTTTTACGCCGGAATGGGCCTCGGATTAAGCAGGATTGAGCCGGATTACGCGGGAGCAACGGGATTAAGCCGTATTGACCGGGATTAAGCCGGATTAAGCCGGATTTCCGACCAGGGCAAAATCAGAATTTGACCTCCCAGGAGTTGCATCCGAACCTTCTCGGCAGCGAGCGAGGGGGGGAAGTGAGAAGGAGAAGACCTGCTCAGAGGGTTCGGAAGCCCCCCGGCCTTCTGAGAAGTTTTCTAAGCCTTCTCCGAAGACAGAAAAAACTTCTCAGAAGGCGCGAGGGCTTCTGAGAAGTCCCGTTGCCTTCTGAGGAGGCCTTCTCCTTCTCGCTTCCCCCCTTCGCTCGCCGCCGACCTTCGCGCGCGCCGAGGAAGAAGAGAAGTCACGGCACCAGGCCTGGCCATTGCGGGCGCGCGTGCGTGGCCCAGCAGGCAAAACCTCGACAGCACCGCCCACCACACGCTGGGCGCGGAAGGCTGGAGGGAGGAGGGAGGGAGGAGGGGGGGAGGGGGGGGGAGGGAGGAGGAGGAGGGAGGGAGGGGAGGGGGGGAGGGGGGAGGAGGAGGGGGGAGGGGGGGAGGGGGAGGGGGGGGAGGGAGGGGGAGGAGGGAGGGAGGGAGGGAGGAGGGGGAGGAGGGGGAGGGAGGGAGGGAGGGAGGGAGGGAGGGGAGGAGGGAGGGAGGGGGGAGGGGGGAGGGGGGCGCCAGCGGCCGTCCCCAGGGCGAAACTTCGACAGGCCCAGCCAGGGCGCGGGACGACCACGAGACGCCCACGGCCGCCCAGCGGGCGGGACCTCGGCATGCCAACCCAACCACTGGAGGATGAGAGGTCGGAGCCCCTGACTGCAAGCACTGCTCGAGAAAAACAAGAGCCCCTAAATCCTGAACGTGCTCGGGGAACTACTTCTCGAGGGGTCGACGAAAACCACCTCTTCTTGAAACCGAAAGGCGAGACCAAGCTCTTCGAGCACCGCTCCATGTGAAACATGCTGGAGGTGTTCAGAAGATCAGAGGAGAGGTAGCCGGGAGGATGCCTACTCTACAGGAGTACCCTGAGCACAGACAGCAACTGTCACTTGACATACCCAGCCCTCCGACGCACACAACCCCCCAGACAGAGGGCCATCAGGATTATCCTCCTCCTGCCTCCTTCTCCCCCCTCCTCCTCCTTCTCCTCCTCCCCCTCCTCCTCCTCCTCCTCCTCCTCCTCGCCGCGTCCTTTTCGATGTCGCTGAGGGCCTCGACGACAAGTTGGAAGTCAGGACCTCGTCAGCCGGAGAATGGAAAAACACAAGACGACGACGACGACGACGACGACGACGACGCCGACGACGACGACGACGACGACGGCGAAGACGACGACGAGGGGACGGAGGAGGAGGGAAGGACGAAGGAATCAGGGGAAGACCAGTAGGAGGTGGAGGGGTTCTAGGGATTCTTCCATCACGCAGTGACATGGATAGCGCGCCACCCCCTGAACTCGATGCGCGCCGAGCCGAAGCGAAGAAGAACAGGAGGCCCGCCCGAGGAGCCAGCCGAAAAGCTTGTGGAACACGGCGAAAACGAACGTGATACCGCCAGATAAATCCTTCCACCATGATTCGGGAGCGGCCAAGAGGGGGGTGTCCAAGAGGGGGGGGTGCAAATCATGACCGGCGGCATGTGCGCGGCCCAGCGGGGGGGCCTGGGACGCAATAGAATAAGAAGAGGCGCCATGAAATCTGCGGAAAAATCATGGCCCGCGCCATGAAATCCACCCCCCCCTAGTCATCACCCCCCTCTTTTCCGCTCCCGAATGATGCTCGCTTCTCCGAAGCCAAGCCACCAAGAGCAGACACCTATCGAATTCTGTGAGCAGCACGCCACGGCTGATGGAACTAGCAAGATGAAGCCCACGCGGAGCGCCTAGGCAGAGGCGGAATTCATAAGAAACCACGGCGCCACATCCACATCACAGAAACCACCTCCCAATCCACCAACGAGCGCGAAACCCACAAAGCTGATAATACGGACGTGGCACGATGCACGGTACTCAATGACAGCACACGAGAGAGGTGTTGTTGAACTCCACATGAACACGAACAAACAGCCTGCCAAGACCATATCCAAGCAAACCTGGGCACTCCTGGCATTCACCCCGACACAGTAGAAGGGTACCCCGCGAGCCATGGGGAAAGGGAATGGAGCAACACCAACAAACTGATCGCCAGGAAAACAAAACAATACATGACTGAAGAAACTCCCAGCGAATGTATCCAAAGGTATGGAATACACACTCAGCATGTATGGAACGGCACGAACTGAATCCTCAGCACATACCGTCTGGGTACCCCGGGCCCCTTCCCAGCAAGGTACAACAGAAGCCCGACAGCACAGCGCCATGAGACTGCCATAGCAAGGAATGAATACCTGAAAACAGCAGCGAACACATTACAAGTTGTGCCAATAAAGCTGCAGTGCCAGGCCGAAATCGCACTCGCCCGAATTCGCCCTGCTTCGCCGACGCGAAAGCCGCACTCATGCGTGCGGTAGCCACGTCGCCCCCCATGGCGCCACGAGAAGGCGCGGGACTCAGACTCGCCGAAGCCCCATCCGAGAGCAAGACTGCTACGGACAAGCCTCGAGCCAGTGCTTGAGCCAAAATGGCTACGGACGGGATGAGGAGGATGCAGGGAGGGAGGAAGGGAGGGCGGGAGGGAGGGAGGGAGGGAGGGAGGAGGAGGAGAACGACGACGACGACGAGGAGGAGGAGGACGTGGAAGAGGAGGAGGAGGAGGAGGAGGAGGAGGAGAAGCAGAGGGGAGGAGGGAATTGGGCATCCGCGGGCAGGCCCACGTGTTGGGATCCGCCGAGCCGGAATGAAACAACCACTGTGGCCCTCCAGCCTGCGCCACTGGGGGAGGAGGCCGCTCCTCGCGGGGCACGGTCGGGCCGCCTTTGGGTCCTCTCGGCGATGACTTCTGTGATTTCTGCTGGTGACGTCTTGGGGCTTCGTTAGGAGAGGGGAGGAGGAGGAGGAGGAGGAGGAGGAGGAGGAGGAGGAGGACGAGGAGGAGGAGGAGGAGGAAGAAGAGGAGGGGGAGGAGGAGGATGAGGATGAGGATGAGGAGGAGGATGAGGAGGGCGGCGGCGGCGGCGGAGCTCTGCAGGTGGGGCGTCTTGGGGCCTCCTGGAGGCATCTCGGCGCCTTGACGCATCACAGGGCTGTTTCGAATCACCCCGGGGCGTCCCAAGCCGATGTCGCTCGCGAGGGCCTCCCACGCCCAACAAGCTGGTTTTGAGTGCGTCGCCGACTTGAGCGGACGCCTGCGGTTCCCCAGAAGCTGCGTCAAGAAGTGCGGTCGGAGCCTCAATGCATCTCGCGCCAGCGGTCAGGATGACGTGAGCTCACGTGACGGAGAAACTCGCTCAAATGAACCTCGCGACGGGGAAGAACGGGATGGAAGAGAGAGGGAGGAGGAAGTGGAGGAGATGAAGGCTAGGGTAGAAAAAAAGGACGGCGAAGGCCCAGAGGGCGTTGGCTCGCAACCCTGTGAGGTCGTTGACGCCCTGCACCTTTCATCAGGCAGCAATCTTCGGCTTCCAACGCAAGAACGACAAGGCCTGCCGCCGCCCCAAGGCGACTCAAGGAAAGCGGCAGGCGCGCCCAACACGCTGGCCTACAGGAAAGCTGGGCTGGAGGCAGATTTGAAACGGCAAAGATCGGAAACGACATCGCGCCCTTTGAAGCTAATCACTCATCCTCGTCCTCACTCCTCCTCCTCCTCCTCCTCCTCCTCCTCCTCCTCATCATCATCATCATCATCATCATCATCATCATCATCATCATCATCATCATCATCATCATCATCATCATCATCATCATCATCATCATCATCATATACATCGTCATCATCATCATCATCATCATCATCATCATAATCATCATCATCATCATCATCATCATCATCATCATCATCATCATCATCATCATCATCATCATCATCATCATCATCCCCTCCTCCTCCTTCTCCTCCTCCTCCTCCTCGTCCTCTTCGTTCTCCTCCTCCTCCTCTTGCTCCTGCTCCTCCTCCTCCTCCTCCTCCTCCTGCTCCCCCTCCTCGTCCTCCTCCTCGTCCCCCTCCTCTCCCCACCAACTATATATATACACACACATATACTCATGACCAAGCAACTTGGCTTATCTCGCCCCACGACTCCCACCCTGCGTCTGCGACAAAAGACACGAGGCCACACTCCCATCGGACGAAAAGCCCCTGTCGACACGCGACGGGCCAAGCCGAAGCTCCCCTACGATTGATTCGACAGCCTGGCAATTATTGGCGCCATTACGTTGTCTTTGGAGCCAACCTCGCTGGCGACATAGTAACACTCTTCTAAGCCCGCTGGCATTTGCTCCGTAAAAGCGGACTCCTTCCAGGTTGCCACGCCTGCCTCACTGGATTTGCGTCGCCCTCCGCATGCCTGTGTTATGGCTCCCCCCAAGCAACACAATGCGTCGCAACATGGATATTCGGACGCTCTTGGTATTGTGGTGGGCAACAAACTATTTCCACTATGATTTTCGGCGCTCGTACTGGACACATGCAATCGTTTCGCTGTCCATGTGCACTGTTTGCTTGGTAACCCAGATAAGCTGGAAAAGCTAGCCCATCCAACTCTCGCCTCAAATTCAAGTGCCTTACGCCACTCCATCGCTATCGATGTACCCATCCCCTTGCCCCCCCGACGTGCAAGTGGCAACGGGGCCGCATTCCTCCGGCCCACCCTTGATTTTGACCCGGGCCAGCGTCCATCCCCACACGACGCACGCTGCGTCTACCAGTGCTCCAAGTCAAATCAAACGAATGATGGAACGTACACTTCTTGGAGATCCTCCGAAATTCTAGCTATCGCTTGCCTGGACTCTGCAGGACAGATACCGTCAGCGAACGCCGCGCACACCATCCGGCATTTCTCCCAGCGAATACTTCCAACAATACATCCGTAGAATTTCGTGTTCTACCTTCCTTTAGCTTCAAATGCGGTTCCGCAATATGATTGTGAAGAACACTGGCGACATTTGATGACCTTGCCTGAAATCGCACACGATGTCGAAGTACCGTTTGCGTGTGGTCTGGCCCAACTGCACATAAGTTTGTTGCCGCTGTGACCCAGCATATTGCATTGACCTACGGCTGCCCGCAGTTCGGAGAGAAGCAGTGTACGTATGATCATGCCACACAGTTTTTCCAAATTCACAGATTCAGTCCACACCAAGTCCTTCCCCTTCACTATTTTCACTGGTCGCTGGTCATCATCGGGCAATGCAACCAAATCACCGCATCCGTATCGCTTCCAGAAACCAATATCCGATTGATCTCTAAGAGGTTCCAAACCAATCTCCATCCTCTGAAACACCACGTTACCATGTAGCATATATCGTATCATGTGTTGTTCCAATGGCAATTGAATTCTCATACGTCAGCGATTTGCGCATGTTTGAAGAATAACACAGCGTTGAATACGCTTACTGATTATGGGAAACGCCTTTCCCTATTCAGTAGATCAGTAAATATGCAAGAGACTTGGCAGCATCAACTGCATGATTGCACATCTCCGCCGCAAACCCACACTCAGCGCATGCCAATGCCATCTCGCGGTTTGACATTCTTATACGATCTACCTCGTCGCCTGGTGTAGACTCCGTTTCCTCCGATTCCCCACTCACCACCCACCCACCTTCTTCAACTCTTCCCTAATAACTCGAACCCCTCTCGGATTCTCCCCCCCCCTCCCTCCGCCTCATGCTTCCTACTTCGTTTCCCTTCTCATCCTGCTCCTCCCCCTCCTCTTCTTCCTCCCCCGTCTCTTCCTTATCATCTCCTCCCCTTCCTACCACTACTCGTCCTTCTGCTACCATTCCCTCCTCTTCCTCCTCGTCCTCCTCCTCCTCTTCCTCATCACCGTCATCACAATCACCACCATCACCATCACCACACCATCACCACCATCACCATCACCATCACCATCATCAACATCATCATCATCATCATCATCATCATCATCATCAATCATCATCATCATCATCATCCATCATCCATCATCATCATCATCATCATCATCATCATCATCATCATCATCATCATCATCATTATCATCATCATCATCATCAATAGCACCATCATCATCAAAATCACCATTACCATCATCATCACCATCATCGTCACCATCACCATCACCATCACCATCATCATCATCATCATCATCATCACCATCACCATCAATCATCACCGATAACCATCACCATCACCATCACCATCACCATCACCATCACCATCATCATCATCATCATCATCATCATCATCATCATCATCATCATCATCATCATCATCATCATCATCATCATCCGCAGCAGCATCATCATCATCATCACAATCATCATCAGCAGCAGCATCATCGTCGTCGCCATCCTCGTCGTCCTCGTCGTCCTCTCTTCCTCCTCCTCCTCCGCATCATCCACCTCTTCCGTCGTCTTTCTGCTCCCCAATCCTTCTGCTCCTCCTCCTCCTTCTCCTCATCCACCCCTCCCACTAATAAGTAAATTAGATCCTGTCGCACCACCACACGTGTCCGTAGGCTGGGCCAGGAGCTCACTTTCCTGAAGCTTGAAATCAACTTGAGAGACTACACGGAGGGAGGGCCGGTCATGTTCTCAGAGTTAGACGACCACCTGAGCGCCGCGCCGATCATGTCATGCCCCATATTTTCTTATATTTTCTGGGTTTTTGTCTTCCCCCCCACTTCCCATATTTTCGCATATTTTCTGGGGAATCGACGATGAATTGTGTCTGTGTGTTTTTTTCCCTCCTGAATGTCCCCCTACAGGCGGAGCTTGGGCGAAAAACAAAACATCCGCCTGCTATGTTTGGCTATCTTTGGGTATTCCTCCTGCAGAGGGACAGGCCCGACTGAAAGCTAGAAGCACGGACAGCCCTTTTTGCACCTTGATCATCCTGCTGGATCCGGCCCAGGGTGCCCAGCTCACCTACAGGGAGAAGAGGTGGCCCCTCTGTACATCCGTGGCGCAGTGCTGGGACGAGTCCCCCCGGGACCAGCTGTTCCTCTACGGCAGGTTCGCGTCGTGCCGACCCCGGCGTTGGTTTCTGACACCGCGGGGATCGTTCAACCTTGAACGGTCGGCCGTTTCCAAAACGTCCAAACCGTTCCACATCGAACGATTCTGGGTCGCCCGCGGCGTTCAGGGTTGAACGTCCGCGCTGGGGTCGCCGCTGGTCGACACGACGCAAACCTGCCGTACCTGGACGTACGGAAAAACGTCCTTTACAGAGCGGCGTCTTGCCTGAGTGGCGGGCCCACGGGTCGCTCGTCGTCCCGGGGCGGCGCCTCCCGCAGTGGGGAGGAGTGCCTGCAGGGACTTGCGCGGGGACTCGGCACGGGAGGGCGTATCGCAGCCTCGTCGATGCATCCTGGGTTTACTCTGATCCTCCTCCTCCTCCTCCTCCTCCTCCTCCTCCTCCTCCTCCTCCCCCTCCTCCTCCCCATCCTCCTCCTCCTCCCCCTCCTCCTTTTCCTCGTGCTCCTGCTCCCCCAGGGTGACTCCTCCTCCTCGTCCCCCCCTTCCTCCCTACCAGAAGAAGAGGGAAAGGAGCGAGTGCATCGCCAGCCGCTGGGCGGGCGTGTGGCGACTCGGTGGCGGTGGATTTTCCCTCCCGAAACGGCCAGCTCCAGGAACCTGGGGCCATCGCCGTCGACCTCTATCCAAATTCTTCGGGGAAACTTTTACTTCCGTCGGCTTCTGACAAAGCTCATCCTACTAAACAACACGCCCACAAATGCGATCAACAGGGCGTCTCGTGGAGGGTGGCTCTCTAAGCGGCTTGTCCGACACAGCGCGACAGTTACACCTAGATCCGCCCAGACCGGGCGGGCAGTGGCAACCACGCGCGGGCACTGCCAGAGACAAAGGAAAGCGGGCTGGCCTTGGGTCGGGCCTGTCCTCCTACAGTCGGGGCGCTGACCTAAGGAACCCTAAATAAGGAACGAGGCCCCTTTTTTCCATGAGTTGAACTTCGATTTCGTATCGAAAACCTGAAGAAAATCCAAGGCAAGCTGCGAAACAATCAAGGAACACCGAGCCCCTCCCCAACGAAAAGGGTTCCTTCTCCAGGGCCCCGACTGTACAGGCGGACTCCCTGGAAGAAAAGGAGCACAAAGGGAAAAGCTGTCAGACATAGTCAGGGGAGCACGAAACATCGGCACCTGGCTATTGCTCTGCTATTCTTGACTACCTACCAGGCCACCCCAACCCAACCCGAAGACCCGAATTTGACCCGAATTTCGGGTTGGGGGGGGTACGGACTCCATGTGTTTTTCCAATGTTCCTCGACCCCCCCCCCCACTGGAAATCGAGGACACATTTGGGCCTTCGGGTTGGGTTGGGGTGGTTTGGTGGGTGGTGAATTCTGGAGCACTCCTCCTGCAGAGCGGCATGCCCGACGGAGGGCCGGCCCCCGCCCCCGCCGCCAGCGCCCTCCTCCTCCTCCTCCTCCTCCTCCTCCTCCTCCTCCTC